CTAAATAAGTAAATAAACAAAATAAATTGAAACAAATTAACCCCCAAAGATCTTGAGATCTCAGATCATCCCACTGATTGTCGTGCAAACAACTCAATATGATATACAGTATGTATATAGATACGCATGTATATCCTTGTGTTTGTTTAATGTATTACTGTATTTCCACCTAGTGTCTCAAAACAGAAACGATCTTGATACATTGTCTGGATATCACCTCTTCGCCCACAACATATTTGTTTCATCTTCAATGCTGTCGCCGCCATAGTCCGAATTATTGTACTTATTTCTCTGCAAATGTGATTTGTTATATGTTTCACGTCCATCGAATTCATACGTTTGTACCATCCCCACTTTCTTTCTGTGTTCCTCAGTCTTCAACCTTTTGCATTCAACAATCGTATCAGGACTATTGAAACTAAACTACCAAATCAGCGCCCACTGACCCACAGACTTCATCAAGCACTACCACATAATCACATGTTTGTCCGGTCTGTCATCACCAAATGAAATACCAAAAAAAACATATATATATATATGTATATATATATATGTGTGTACATGTTCTATCGCTTCATGGTCACCCATTCACAGCTACACAGCTGCTGTCCTATTGGTACGTACTGTTTGTATAATTTGATAGCTTCTCTCCTCTAAATGCTTGCAAATGAAACCCTCTCCTGGTGAAATGCCACGGGGCCTCTCATCATCAACCTGTTTGACTGCTTTCGCCTGAATATTCAATTATACGTGATTTCCAAAACGCCAAAACGCTAGTTTTCTTACTAAAGTGTTATGATGGAACCTGAACGTCTCACAATTTCTCCGTTCACAAATGTTGTTCCCAATTGTCAACAACAAGCCTGGAAGCCTTATGTCTTGTCAAAATTGCGTTTGTCAATGACAAAAACATCAGTCTCAACTGGGGAGCAATCAACATCATGTTTGTTCAGACTCCAGCAATCCAACAAAAAATATTTGGGTAGTTCTCTGCGTTGCTTTCTCTTCATCATCATCCAGGTTCAAGTCCCACCATTCAGCGAACAGCCTTGGTGCTTCACCTCCAAAGGTTTCATCTACATGAAAGGGGCTTGGACCAAGCACCACAGACCCTTGGAAGTTCCCACCAAGATTCACATTCCTTACTCGGTGGATGGAATCACGATTGACAAAGCCAGCTACAGAGTGGTGGCCATGGTGCTTCATCAAGGTGCCTCCCACGAAAATGGTCACTTTGTTGCCATCCATGCCTGTGACAACACCTACTGGCATGTGGATGACAATCAGTACCCCCAACCTATTCTTGGACTCTCGTCCCAACAAGAACAAGAAATCTTGCAGGTTTGGCTGATCCATGATCCGTCCGATGAGATGGAATATGTAATTCTCGAAGAGATCATTCAGCCGGTCAACAAGAAGGCCAAAACACATTATGATGTTGTGCCCCTGCGCTTCGCCAATGTCACTACCTTTGGACGGAAAATTCAAGACTGGGTTTGGTCCAAGGCCGACAATATCATCATGCTCCAAGATGGATGGCAATAGGTTTCCAGCGTGATGATCATCATATTGCCACTACCCAGCTTTATTTACGCACTGGCCCTCAACTCCGAGATCCTTGGCAATCTCTTCGGCTTTCTGGAGACCCTGAAAGCTCCCTTCATCACTGGTGGAGATTGGCAAAACCCTCCATCTGAGCTGGCAGCCATGGTGGTTCAGAGCAAGTTCAAAGCACACATCAAGGCCACCGAAGGCCCTAAAGCAGCCAACTAGACTACCTCCTGGTCTCCAATGAGTTGACGGGTTCCATCATCGTGGACACGCTATGGGAGGTACCTCCCTATTCTGGCCAGGCTGCATTCGACACCTTCGTCGGAGAACCTTGCCTGTGTGGACCCCTTCCACCAAGCATGTGGAACGGCAGCTCATCCCACACTATGCAAAGGTGGGGAATGAATGCAGAGTGCTCGAGGTGTTCAGCACGAGGCCGCATAGTTGATGGGACGGTTCTCATTTCGAAGAAGTTGAGAGATCCATGCCCAGCTCGGTCAAAAGACCTTCGTGAGCTCTTCTCATAGCACCCAGTTGCACCGGAAAAAGGTTCGTGCAAAAAACATATGCGTGTGTACAAGTTCTATCGTTTCATGGTGACCCATTCACAGCTACACTGCTGCTGTCCTATTGGTACGTACTGTTTGTATAATTTGATAGTTTCTCTCCTCTAAATGCTTGCAAATGAAACCCTCTCTGGTGAAATGCTACGGGGCCTCTCATCATCAACCTGTTTTTGTTCAAAACATGTTCATCAAAAATCTCAACTGTGTTCCATTCATCTTGCACTTGACCGCTTTCGCCTGAATATTCAATTATATGTGATTTTCAAAAACACTAGTTTTCTTGCTAAAGTGTTGTGATGGAACCTGAACGCCTCACAATTGTTCAGTTCACAAATGTTGTTCCCAATTGTCAACAACAAGCCTGGAAGCCTTATGTCTTGTCAAAATTGCGTTTGTCAATGACAAAAACATCAGTCTCAACTGGGAAGCAATCAATATCATGTTTGTTCAGACTCCAGCAATCCAACAAAAAATATTTGGGTAGTTCTCTGCGTTGTTTTCTCTTCATCATCATCCAGGTTCAAGTCCCACCATTCAGCGAACAGCCTTTGCAGTTCACCCCATATACTAGATTCTGCTTAAGGCCATTCCTAACGGTCGGAGAGTCACTTTGGAATACAAGTTTTTGTTCACTTTGGAACACTGGGTTTTGGTTCACTTTGGAACACAAAAGATGTGTCACTTTGGAACACACAACAACCCAAAAACATGGAAGGGTTAACAAAAACCGAGGTCACTTTGGAACACAACACACCTGGTTTTTTGGGGTCACCTTAGAACACACACACAGACACGGATGGGGAGGGTTTAAAGATTGATGAAGGATGGGGTGGGGTGGGGTGGGGTGGGGTGGGGTGGGGGGGCAAGAGTTATAGAAAGACGTATTCATCGATTACATTTTTTTAAAACCGTGCATGGTACCTCAAACTCAGCTGCGCACACAGATTTCGCTCACCTGCGCGCACGCAAATTGAGTTGATGTGATGTGTGCACGACATGGCATTTTTTTTTGATATGTCGTTGGGTCAGGTCTCCACACACATGCTCGTGTTAATAACGTCCCTCTGGACATTCATCTACATGATGATCTCTTTTTGCTAATTGCTTCCACAGTACCATGTAATGTAACACAGATGCTCTGCGTTTGATTGATGATGTTGGGTTGGGATGGTGGGGTGGGGGGTGGGGGGGTATAACGCCCTCTGGATATTCATCTACATGATGATCTCTTTTTGGTAGTTGCTTCCACAGTACCATGTAACACAGATGCTCTGCATCCTTCATTCATTCATTCATTCAATCAATGAATCAATCATTCATACAGCAGAGCAAAGCGGCGTGCGCAACCGAGCAAGCGCGCGCATGACACGCGTTCCGAAGCGATCGCATTCCCGCGTTCCGAAGCGATCGTTTTTCTGCGTTCCGAGGCGACTACCTCACCATTCCTAACCTTACTCTGTATTAGTCTCATACGTGCCAACTGCAATGTCAAAGGGTTCCTTCTGCTGAATCACGCTTGTGAGAAACAGTGTCTAGCGTGTAGTTTGTGTATGCCTGTCTCACATCAACTTCAATGTGGTCATTCATCACATAACCCCTGGGTTTGTAGTCTTCTTTTGATGCTATGGTTTGAGGTGTAGAAGCTGTTCAAGTCATTGTTGTGACAGTTCGCCTTGTGCGCAGGATTGAACATTCCCTTGCTAAGGTTGAACATTGCTTCGTTTCTATTGTTTGTTGTTGATTGGTTGAACTACATGATTAAGTGCCACCTGCCCTTGTCATGTTAGGGTTCATACTTACTTTGCTCCTTCAACCGCACAACCGATGCTACTAAGGTTTCTCTGACCAACTAGATCAGTCTACGTTGATCGTCATTGCGCTAGAGGATGTTCTATCGTCATTGCGCTAGAGGAAAAACAAAACAAATATCATACGTTCTAAGTGACCGTCCGTAACTGTAAGCAATTCTCGTTTTTTGTAGCCGATTGAACGTTTCCGCAGCTACTCAGGGTCACTTGCAGCATCTGCGCAACAATTGTGCCAGAACTCAACCCAATCCTTGTGCCAGCTACCAAGACAGGGTGATGCAGCTTGGACACTCGCGAAACTTTCGTGGATCTTTCTCCGGGAAGCGTAACATTTGCAAACATCTGCACAGCCCGTCAGAGCAGCTGCAGGTCGTTGCCTCGCTGTCAGGGCTGCGCCTACTCAGGTTGCTAGTCTGTGACAGTGGGGACAGGAATCGGAGAATCCTTTACGCACTGCCAGGGCTGGGCACGGAAATGTTGAGGCTTCAGTTCTTTAGTCTGTGACATATGGGGACACTTCGGCCCACCGGCTCTGCCGGAGGATTGCCTTGTATTTCTATTCTTTGTCATTGTCAGTCCAGTAGAAAGGAAAACATATGAAAGCGATGACCTTCGATAAATCTTTCGCGGAAAAAAAGATACTTTCGCGAACCTCACCTCGAATCTTTCGCGGATGGTTCTAACAACATCTGAAAGGCTGTTTTATATAAAACTCCTTACACGGGGCTTTCGATCAACTCCCATATAATCGCAACAAATTGTTACATTTTCAGAGCGTCCACCCAAAAATGAAACTTCAGCCCAGCCTACCGGCTGGCTTTCGTGAAATAGATAGGTAGACAAATGAACAGACATGTTTTCTTTCTAACGTGACCTCAGCGGTGGACTGATCAAAAGAGAGCCCCTCTTCCACCAAAAGAGGCATCATCAATGGCAGAATTCTTTCCGAGGTTACCTCCAGTCACAGTTACGATCACAGCTGTGTTTTGAGAGAGAGTGCACGTGGTAGGTTCACTCCTTGTGTCCCAAGTTTTTGCTCATGGCGTCGTAGCAGCCAAGCAGGCACATACAAATCGCCGGGGTGCGATCCTGGGGATCTTCAAGAGTGCAACAGAACATGAAAGAGTAGAGATCTTAGTGGTGCAAAGTATTCGTGACACTGTTGCAAGAACTGTGAACAGTGAGCGGACTTGCAACTTTCGCCAGGCATTCGCTTTCGAAAGCGTCAGTCTGCAGACCGCTGACCTGCAACGATATCACTGAGAGACGGACTCTCCAAATTCACCCCATGAGTTTCGCTCACCGGACCAGCTGATATTCTCAACAAACACTTCCAACTTCAGTGAATATGCACGTCAGTAAAGCCGGACCCTCTGCGATGATGGAAGTTTCACACTTGGTGCTTACAACATGTCGCATCAGCCGCCAAGCTTTGCCATGTTTTTTAGAAGAGACTGTGTCTGTTGGGCTCAACATCAGCTCCAAACTAAATCTGTCTATCTATCTATCTATCTGTATAAATATTATATATAGACTATATAGATGTTACAGTCAATAGCATCATAGATGGTACAATGATAGTTCTATTTGCGCTGATCCAAAACAGCACAGGTGGCACCTCCAGAAAGACCGCGCGTCGTGATCCACAAAGATTGCCGTCCCCCGTGTTGCACCTTCAAAAGCGCAGAGACGTTAAGTTGTTGAGACAGTTCAAAAGGTCAGACACACCTCTCTTCCTGGACTGCCACAGCTGCTCACGCTTTCGGCCTTAAGAAGAGACGAAACCTTTGCCGTTGCGAGAATACGTTCTCTGAGAGCCGCAACAAAGCTGGCTTCTTGAAGTCCATGCAAGGAGTTGCTACTGGCAGGCGAGACAGACAACAGTTCATTGCATATTGGATGAGTTGAGTCAAGGAAATGCAAGTATTTCAAGCAGGCAACTGCCTAAAACAGCTTTTTCTGGAGCCAAAGCACGGTAGGTAATGGACATATGTACACGCGCTAGCCGTGAAAAATACCCCCCGCGGCGCGGCTCGGTCACGGGCGGCACAGAAGAAGCAGAACGTCAGCCCACGTAGACCCCAGGACGGGCTGACAAAGCTATGTACAATGTACGAGTCCAGTACGGCTTAGGTTTCCACATGGCACACCGGGAGCACTACCACTCCGGTGCCAAGGTGCCACGCGCCGTGAATTACTATTGACAAGGGAGTATGCACTAGGACCACTAGGAGTGCCAGCCAAAATGGACACGGTGAAGACGGCTAACGTTCCCGTTAGCGCCACAAACATGAACTCCAAGAATCCACATACCAACATAGGAAAGAAAGCATTCCGGCTAACGTTCCCGTTAGCATGGAATTCACACACGTAGATGCCAACGCAGCAGGTCTAGGTACACCTAATTTATATCATATATATATGTTCCCGCCGAACTTACCAAACTTAACACTACTTAACCTACTACTAACATATAGTTACGTAAGTAGTAACCTCAGTTATAGATGTTAACAACTGCAACATACTGCAACAACTAGGGGGGCACATCACTGCATCGGGTGGAATGCGAAGACTTGCCAGCCGGAAGGCTCGGCCAAGAATATCCTCACTGACCTCGTCTCTTTTGCCAAACTGAATTGGCCTGATGCTGCCAATGAATATGGCTACAGCCTCTCTGTGGTTGAGGGCACGCGCAAGAAGGTGAGCGCTGTTTCTCGGAAATCGACCGCAAACCAGAATCTTCTTCCCGGTCGACCAAGCCGAAGGCAAGGCGAAGAAAGGCAAGGGCAAGGGCAAAGCTCCTCCGTCTGGACGCTTCGTGTGTGGCGGTCCACGCTACATCGATTGCCCGGAGTACCATCAGCAGCGGCTGCAGCAGAGGACCCAGAATCGCAAGGGCAAGGGGAAGGGTTCAGGGCCCCGCCCAGCCGCTCACCAGTGGCGCGTTGTGCAGCGACCAGCTGATCCCACGGCTGCGCCGTCAGAGGACTATATCGCTCAGGACATTGCCTTGAAGGGCAAGGGGATGGCCGACCAGCAGAAGGGGAAGGGCAAGAGCGGTCAGACGAAGGGCAAGGGCAAGTACGAGCCATCCAAGGGAAAGGAGAAGGGCAAATACAACCCTCAGCCTGAACGCGTGTACTACGGTGACCGTGAATGGCAGGGATCATGGAGCTATTCTTGGATGTGGACTTTTCTTCCAAGGGTTGGTTCTGGCAGTGGGATCCTAGCTTTTAACCTACAGGTTAGGAAGAAATAAGTAGGACAGCTTGAAAGTTAATTTGAACTTAGTTTGAACTTATGGAACTTAGCAAGACTCATGTCAAAACAGCATGTTTTTGGTGAACGCTTCAGAAACATGCTTTGTTTACCTTTGTTTTTGACATCAAAAAAATGTTGCTGTATGTTGTTGTTTGTGATCGTTGCAAATGTATCCTTTTTTCAGGCATCTGTTTTTGTTGCAGTTTTCGTGTGATTCTTGTCAGTTGTGTTGTTCTGCAACGCGGTGGTTCCGCGAATTGCTTGCTTCCGCGGTAGTCCGCAGAGCCACAGCCTTTTCTCAAGTTCGTGCTATACACTACAGGTGTTGTAGACATTTGTAGATACAGAAAGAGGTCAAGATGAAGCGCCCGGCGAAGAAGGTCGCGATGAAGCGCCCTGCGAATAGCCATGCTCCGAAGGCTTCTTCCAGCAGCCAAGCAGCCGACGAGGGAGTGAATCGCTCGAAGAAAGTGTACGCATTCCCCAGCACCAAGGACTGGAAGGATCGAAGCTACCAAGAGTTCTTGGATGCTGCCTACTTGGACTTTCACGACCTGAAGAGCTACAACACGAGCTACCGTGAGCGAGTCTCTTGCAGCCAGGGACAGTACATGGCAAGGATGAGCAAGTCGCATGGGCGGCGCAAGGTGGACTCGAGGTACATGTGGGAGTCCATATGGATGGACAAGGACTTGCAAGAGAAGCCTGAGAGCAGAATCTAGATGTGTAGACCTTTAGCACAGCTCGATGGGAGAAGGCTTGGCGATCGGGGCCTTATGTGGAAAAAAAGGGTGAATCAAGGTTTGCTGTCCTGGTTGTATCCAGGATGAATGCGGTATGTATTTGAGACCTCCCCTTGAGAGTTCACTTGTTTGCAACAGTGTCTTCGCAATTTTTGCTCTTTAAACAGACGCGTTTGCAAAGTGTTTCACAATCTTGCCATTGGTAGCATGGCTGAGCAAGGCTCGAACCTATTGCAGGGGAATGCAATGGGAAAAGAGCAGGGTCTAGGGAATGCTCGAAAAACTATGCAGGATTGGACAGCGTTCTACATGTACCTGTCAGAAACCGAGTGGGATGCAATCGCCAACCAGGAGTCAGTGACTTCACTAGCCTGTTTGCAGATTGTCATAGAGCATCTATTTCGCCGTGGCCTTCGGTGCACCAGTGAGTTGACACAGGCATCTTTGACAGCCATGCTTGCGCAAAGAGAACCCCCAGAAAAGCAGCAAAACATGATGCATGAAGAGCGCCTCAGAAGCCTTTTCTTGACAGTAAAGGCTCAAGTGAGCGCAAAGATATCGAAATTGAAAACCCTTTTGAATCTTCCACAGCCTCATGGCATTCATTTGGAGACACTGCCTTCCGACCCTCAGCGGCTACCAGAGGCTTTGAAGCAATTCTTTATTGGCACTTTTGGTGACTTTGTGCCACCCAGGCTCAACATGATGGATTGTTTGCAGATTGCTCGCCACGTGCCTATGAGAAAAGGAAAGGAGCAAGGCCTTTGTCACTTGAACCAATCAGTGTGGTCTCAGGTGACTGGTCCTGGAGGAAACCTGTTCAATCTGACGGCAATGGCGGATGTTGCTGCAATGGCGGCTGGTGGCTTTGAGGCGCAGCCACAGATGCCGAACAAAACCATGCTTCCTCCTCGCCATGGCCATGCATCAACTCAACCCAACCAAGGTTTGCTTGAGTTGGTGAACAGGGCTGGTGCAACTGGTTCAAAACCTGCAGCGCCACTGGCGCTGATGGATTCTACTGAGCCAGAAGCAAAGTCCCTACCTCCTTTGCAAGCAGCTTCTCAGGCCGCTCCTTCGCAAGTCGCTCTTCCGCAAGATGCCTCCGTGCATGTGCAGCCTCATGGAGTTCAAGAAGGAGTTCAAGAAGGTATTTCCAAAGAGGCTTTGCAGCAAAATGCGTTGCAAGGGCCTTCCCATAGCGTTCCAAACAAGGTTGGTGCAGTTCAGGGTCCAGATACTCCAGCAGAAAAAGCACCTTCTCAGTCAGATGGGCCGATTCAGCCGCATGTCAATGTCAGCTTGGCTCAGAGCGTTGCAAAACTCAAGGTGGCTGCGGATGCAAAGGGGGCTCAATGCGGAGAGAGGACAGGCGGTGCAGCTGAGAAAACGATGCTTTTCAAAAAGCCCGCCGCAGCTCCGTCGTCTATGAAGAGGCCCATGTCACAGAAGGCGGACCACGAAAAGAAGAATGCAAAGAAAAAGAGCGCAGCTCCTGAGAGATCGAAGGCAGAGACAAAGAAATTGCTTATGAAGCAGATCCCCAAGCAGAAGCGAACCAAGTTCTCAGGAGGCTGCCCTAAGTGCCGCTATGTTCCTTTCTGCACTCTATCTTGTTGGAAGCAGCGCGGTTTTGAATTGAAAACCAATGCCTGAACCACTTCTCCGTGTGTTCTGTGAGCAGGCAAGGCTGCAATCCAATCTCTCATCTCTTAGGGCTTGGTGGAAAACAGTGCGCCTGTCACCCAGACTGTGTGAAGCATGTCAACGACTTGTGGTCTGTAGGAAGAAAACCATGTTGTTGTTGAATTCAACACAGCTTGTTGCCACAAAAAGAAGAACGCCATAATATATATTAATTTTTAATTTGCGGTAGCCCGCAATATGTTATATTCATATAAAATCACCGGCGGTAGCCCGCCATATTATATATTCATACTTAGATTGCGGTAGCCCGCAATATTATATATTCATATAAAAATCATTGGCGGTAGCCCGCCATATTATATGTTCATATTTAAATTGCGGTCGCCCGCAATATTTTATATTCATATAAAATCATTGGCGGTAGCCCGCCCTATTATATGTTCATATTTAAATTGCGGTAGCCCGCAATATTTAATATCCATATATATATATATAGTGCAATATGCAATAGAATCTATATGCAATAGAATGGCGGTGGCCCGCCAATCCCTAAAAAGATGATGTATTTTACTAATTGTTTGTTATGGATGTGTTATTGCATCCGGCTCACAGTGCTTTCTTGCGGGCTAAAAACATAGCAGGCAATATACAGCGTTGGCAATTGTAGTCACAAATACTTTTGCACATGGGCTTAGCAAAGTTTTTCGATGTCACCTCAGGCAACGGTTCCTTTGTCTTCATGGCCAATGACGTCCACTGCATGGATGAGGATGCGGATCACTACATGGGCGCGCTTCGAGACGCAGGGCTTTCTGAGGTTCCTTGACTGAAACATTCATATTACAACGTAACTGTTTGATCTATGTGTTCATGGCACAGTCTTGCAATCACCGTTTCGGGGGGTGCTTTGTATCACCTTGTGTCTCTACATGTACCTTTATGTTCCTGGATGTTTGTTCCAAGTAGCACTTCACTTCATTGTGTTTCGAAGTCAAGGTTCATGAAAGAGTCATCTAA